CCTTCTCTCTCTCTCTCTATCTCTTTCTCTCTCGCCCTCTCTTTCATCTCTCTCTCTCTCTCTCTCTCTCTCTCTCTCTCTCTCTCTCTCTCTCTCTCTTCTCTCTCTCTCTCTCTCTTCTCTCTCTCTCTATCTCTCTTCTTTTTTTCTCGCTGTCGTCTAATAAATGGAGATGGTAAAGAGCGAATCAATCCATTAGCCATTAATGAAATATTAATGGCTTCTTGCTAAGATCCGGTCGTCCCATTCTATGCTGACGTCACGACTGAGCTAGCGTTACTTCTCCTGCTCGCGACTCATGCGAGAGACCTCGTCAAAATAGCTAAAGGATGCGTTGTAGGATTGTATTTGCTAGCTACAGGGTAGGTAAGAGATAGGTAGTAGGGTTGTATTTGATAGCTACAGGGTAGGTAAGAGATAGGTTGTAGGGTTGTATTTGATAGCTACAGGGTAGGTAAGAGATAGGTAGTAGGATTGTATTTGATAGCTACAGGGTAGGTAAGAGATAGGTTGTAGGGTTGTATTTGCTAGCTACAGGGTAGGTAAGAGATAGGTTGTAGGGCTGTATTTGATAGCTACAGGGTAGGTAAGAGATAGGTTGTAGGATTGTATTTGATAGCTACAGGGTAGGTAAGAGANCCTATCTCTTACCTAAGCTGTAGCTATCAAATACAATCCTACTACCTATCTCTTACCTACCCTGTAGCTATCAAATACAACCCTACAACCTATCTCTTATCTACCCTGTAGCTATCAAATACAATCCTACAACCTATCTCTTATCTATCCTGTAGTATTTGATAGCTACAGGGGGTAAGAGATAGGTTGTAGGATTCTAGGAGATAGGTTGTAGGATTGTATTTGCTAGCTACAGGGTAGGTAAGAGATAGGTTGTAGGATTGTATTTGATAGCTACAGGGTAGATAAGAGATAGGTTGTAGGATTGTATTTGATAGCTACAGGGTAGATAAGAGATAGGTTGTAGGATTGTATTTGATAGCTACAGGGTAGGTAAGAGATAGGTAGTAGGATTGTATTTGGTAGCTACAGGATAGATAAGAGATAGGTAGTAGGATTGTATTTGTTACCTACCCTGTAGCTATCAAATACAATCCTACAACCTATCTCTTACCTACCCTGTAGCTAGCAAATACAACCCTACTACCTATCTCTTACCTACCCTGTAGCTATTAAATACAATCCTACAACCTATCTCTTATCTACCCTGTAGCTATCAAATACAACCCTACAACCTATCTCTTATCTACCCTGTAGCTAGCAAATACAATCCTACAACCTATCTCTTATCTATCCTGTAGCTATCAAATACAATCCTACAACCTATCTCTTACCTAAGCTGTAGCTATCAAATACAATCCTACAACCTATCTCTTATCTACCCTGTAGCTATCAAATACAATCCTACAACCTATCTCTTATCTACCCTGTAGCTATCAAATACAATCCTACA